ACAAAGGGTATTCCAAGATCCCTCCTGACACCTGAAGGAGAAAAACTAACAAACAATGGCCTCACTGATGATCTATTATTTTCAGGACAAGGATCAGGAGATGACACTGCTGTTATTCCTTCTGTAGTGCCATTTGTTGTCAAAGGAATCATGACCACTTCAAGTCCTCAAACTTCTCATGCTGCAAACATGGGACCAAAACTTTCCACTGACACTAAGTTTTCCACAGAAGCCTTTGAAAGAGGAAATACTGAATCAAATGCTGAAGTTAATGAAGAAGTTACAAGTGCTGTAACTGAGCTACTATCAGAAACAGATCAGTTCTCCAGATCAATGATCACCAGTTCCCCAGCTTTAGCAGAAGAGAGTTCTAAGAGCTCCAGTTCTAAAGAGATTAACAAGATGACACACTATTTTGTTGCTATTGAAGACCCTCACAATAAGGAAACTAAGTACAGGATAGGAGAAAATGAAACAGATAGGACAACAGCTACTTCTAAAGGTGTTTCTCAAGAGGAAACTTCACATTTGCTGACTAAAGATGACATAACTCCTGTTGCTGTAATACTAAGTGGAACTCCTAATATTGAAACAGAAGAATCGCTTGTAACATCAACAACAAAAGTGCCAGGCAGAGTATTTCCCGAAAGCTCTGGTGAAGGATCTGGCTGGGTTGGTGTTTTAGATTCATCTTCCCCTGATATGTTTACTCATTTGTCAATCCCCCCTGTGTCAAACATAGAACAAAATCCTTCTTCTGGTGTTCATGGAGAAGTTTATTCTGAAGTTATGACAACAGAGGCACCGATAGGTGGATCACAGCCTGTAACCACAGGATTAACAACCCTTTTTACAGAAGAAAAAGACATCATGGCAAATCTCTCTGAAGTTCAGTCAACTACAGCTACATCAGAAGAACAAATAACTGATGCCAGGATCTATGAGAAAATTATTCCCATGATTGATGATAGAAGAAGTGTTATAATGAACGTTTCTGTTTATGGTGATATTACACTAATTGAAGACCGACTTCAAATCCCATCAAAAGAAACAACAATTATAGACATGGATCACTCAAAATCAATGCCTGAAGATATAATAAGTGTTCAGACAATGTCAAATCCTATCATAAAATCGACATATGACAGTGATGATAGCATAACAGCTGAAGGGGAGAAATATAGTTCAACACCTAAATTTTCCATAACCAAAGAGAAGACACTTGTATCTGGTGATAGTATTTCTTTGACTACTTCCAGTCAGACAAGTAGTGAATCAGTGACAGCTGAGCACAGACCAAAATTAGAGGACAAAGATTTGGGTTCAGGGAATGCTATGAATTTTGCAACAGAAACTCACATCACTACCAAAATCTCTGAACTGGGTGTTTTCCTTCCTACAGTACCATCGCTGGTAAGCCCTCATGTGCCTCCTGAGTCTAAACATGTTGTGACAAGCACAACAGAAGGCACCTACGAGCTGAATACTTCAGCACACAACCAAGCAATAGCAGATGAAAGTGAAACAATCTCTGTCTCAGGCTTTTCTGGAATGGGGCAAGAAGAACCGGATGGTAAGCAGTCTGAGGTTCCTTCTCTTACACCAGTTTTAACTACTGAAACAGAAAAGGCTTTGGCAACTGACATGCTTGATGTAAGTAGTGTCACCACTCAGCGTACATCCCAACTGACAACTGTATCATCCAGCAAGAATGAAGAAAAGCATCCTACAATATACACAAACACAAAATCAGCATCAGCAGAGTATGAAGAAACAGATTCAGTGTCCTTTTATTCTGTATCTCAAACTCCTAAATCCTCAGTAACTGTTCAGTTAGTTAATGGAGTATCTGAGTATCCTGAGGTAATAATTCCAAGTACATCATCATCATCAAATGATTCAGATCAGTCTGGTCACTCTTCAGATGGAACCTTCAAAGAGGTTAGTTCTGATATTGCAGCAACATATAAACCACCCACTACAGACCTTCTGGACAGAACAATGTCTTTTCTGCCTGAGTTTTCTCCCAAGCCTGTTCCAGAAAGCACAACTACTGAAAGTGCTCCTCATTTTAATAGATTTGTAACAGACAGGACAGAGGAGACAGAAACCTCTGTAACTGATTTGGCTGTTGAGGAAGAACCTTCTGTTTCTGGAGATTCTCCATCAGTACATGTCTTGCCTACTGCTTTTCTGAATTTTGGAGAAAGAGTTAGCACAGACATTCCAAAAGTTAGCACAGTAAAAGTTGAAGCTTCCTCAAGGAGAGTGAACAGCTCCCATCAAGAAGTTGACAGGAGTACTGAGACCCCATGGCTGTTTTCCACACCTGTTTCAGATTCACCCAATAGTGTTGAAAGTGAGGTGTTCAAACCTGACCAGGAAGCAGTTACAATGCTGGATTCATCTTCACAGCCTTTGGATAGAAGCACAAAAACACAGTCAGCTTTGTTTGGTCAAGAGGAGATCACAACAATTTCTTCTAACATTGCAACAAGCAGTACTGCCCCTGGAAATAGTCCATATGAAAATGAGCAGACCACAGTAACCTCTGAGGAACCAAATACTATTGAACTTATAACTTCATCATTTTCCCTTCTGGAAGTGACTAATGGATCAGATTTCCTGATTGGCACCAGTGTGGGTTCAGTTGAAGGCACAGCAGTGCAAATTCCAGGTAACTTCCATATTATGATCCGTATGTTGTATATATTTGTTGTGATAATTTAAAATGTGTGTCTTAACTCTGATAAGAAGTAGGACAATCAGAGCACCGTGTGAAATAACAACAGAACTTGTGAGCCTCAAGCTTTAAAACTGACATGATTGTAAGCTCTACAAAGTGAAGAAGGATGAGGGTACCAATACTCAAGCTCAGTAAACTTTCCTGAGTGTTTGCATCATGGACCTCTGGATCAGACTTGAGGTGACCAGCCAGTTCTGAAATACAGGAAGGTAACATTGATTGTGATAGAGAATTCAGCTGTAAATATTTAATTTTCCAATTTCCAACATACAGTTCAATCTGATAGTTTTTTCTGTGTTGGTATCATGATAGTACTTAGATAACTGGTTTAGAGCTAAGGTTGTTTTATAACATCTTGCAGTTTAGTAGGAAGCAGATTTGGTGCACATTTTCAAATCAGAATTTTCTAGAATAATTAATTTCTCTTAACCCACAAGAAGACTTTCCAGACAAGAAAAAGATGAGACCACGTTTTCAGCCTGTCTATAGCTTTAACTGTTTGATACAGTCACTGTCTCTTATAAATTACAGATCTTCTACTTAGACACCATTTGACACAGTGTTTTGTTTTACATAATAGTTATTAGGCAACATTTCACCAAATACACAGATAATGTGGGTAGGGTCAGTATGAATAATGTTGCTTCAATTCATATTTTATAGAGATAGAGCTGAAGAAAGAACTGAACTGGCTTAATTTTATAGAGTTTTCTTTTTCTTTCCCTCAAATAATCCAGGTAACTGTCAATTTGAATATGTTTACTGGAAAAATATAGGGTCCACAGGAGGACAAATGGACAGTAAACACGCAATAAACATTGTTAGGTGTTTAACATAACCCTACATTTGTGACTTGCAGTGAAGCAGTCCTAAAACAAGCACCCTATTTTATGGATATCACCAGGTTCTTTTCAAACCCTCCAAAAGAAGATCCTGCCCACTTAATTACAATCCCAAATTTATGTAGATGGAATTTTCCTCTGGAGGCTTTCAACAGAACCTTCTGCTTTCCAATGACTAGCTAGAGAGCTTCGTACTTTAAGGAGACTTCCTTGAAGTCTAACTTGCAGGAATAATGCAGATGTTACTTGTCTCTTATTTCATAAACTGTAGTTGGAATGTTTTGGAGAAATATAACAAAAAATTTAAACTTTTCTCATGTTTCTGAGTTAATTTAGGTTACAGTATTCTCTTAAACCCATTTTGTAAGTATTAAAAGCCAGGGTTTTCTTCTGGTATATTGGAAGGACCGTCTTCACATTTTCCTCTAACTCTGAAAAGCTAATACTTAGAATCTGTTATCTAGTGAGTACTTGTTTGTGTGAGTGATTGCTCCTAGGCATTAAATCAAATGCAAATGTCTAGGTATCTAAACTCAATTGAAATAAGCATCACTAGAAGGCATAAAGCTCTCCAAGGAAAAACTGTTTAAATGATAACTCCTGTAACAACAGAGGATTTCACAGCAGGTAAGCTTTTATCCTAATATTTAGTTCAGCTATTAATATACTCAATGCCTTTACTTGTATTCTTGAAGTGTGTTTCTAAGAAAAACAAATGGGAAATATGCATGTGTGAAAACATACTTTCAAAGAAATAAGACTTTGTAGGAATTGATTGAGTAAATATAACAAAGTGAAACAGCAGCTAGCCAGTATGTTCTGTGTACCCAGTCATTCTACATAAACTAACCCTGCCAAAAAAAACCCACCAAAAAGCAAAGCATTTTTCATCCATTTTGCATATGTTTTAACTGTTTTCAGCTTATAATTAATTGCCATGTCATGCAAACTAAATCCTCAACAGAATATAACTGCCAAATATAGTATAAATTGATAGGAAAAAAAGGGTACATCTGAAGATTATTTATACTGGTCGATAGTAAATGCCATATTGTTGCTGAAGTTGAAAACAGTGGTGCCTGAAAATCTTTACTGTTTTACAAAACTGTTTTGTTCTCAATATCCTATTATGTTAATAGAGCTTCTGTATCTACAGTAAAGCCTGCAACATTAGTGCAGAAATGAAGAAAGATTTCTACTTCCAAAAAAGCAAAAAGACACTAGTTCCTTGAAACTAGAGTCAGTTTTCTTTTTCTGCTCATTTAACAGGCCAAGATCCATGCAAAAGCAATCCCTGCCTTAATGGTGGTACCTGCTATCCACGTGGTTCCTTTTACATCTGTACATGTTTGCCAGGTTTCAACGGCGAGCAGTGTGAATTAGGTAAGCTGATGATATCTAGATGCTAATTAAGTCAAGTCTAAAGTTTTCATGGGTGAGTTCGACAGAGGTGGTGTGTTTAGATATTGAAAAACACATAGGCATTTTAAAAAGGTGTGGTGAATCCTTACTTAAGAAGAGAACGGTAGAATGAATGATGTCCACTCACCCTTTTCTCTCTTCCCATAAAGCACGCATATGTGTACAGATACAAAAATAAGAGAATTGTAAATGAACTGCATCACCTAGAATTCATAACAAGAAATTAATAAATACATCAAATAAAACCAAATAAACATTAATATTTGGGGTAGTTCTTAGAGTTTGTGTAATTATTTGAAGGGATGGTAAAATAAACTAATCCAAAATGTAACTGGGAAGCTAAGCACTGGATGCCAGGTTGATATTTTTTCAAGGAAACTGCAAGTGGATTGTAAATATACATCTTTGGTATAAATTAGTATTTTAGTAACTCTTCCAATGGAGGACTTCTTTGAATTACCTGTGACGTCTATATTTACCTGCTACGACTGTGGGTTCCAGGAGACTTGCCAGTACAGTTCAGAATAACCAGCTTTTCTGTCCAACCACCAAGCCAAAGTATGATAAAAGTGGTAGTTTGGTTATTTAGTGTAAAGCTGATTTAAACTTTTGAAAAGTTGTAATTTTCCTTCCCTGATAAATACCATGGATTTGCTTGTCACACAGCTGCCTGCTAAATTTGAAAGAAAAAACCCAAACAAAGATGCAATGTGGTTAAAATGAGTTAATTTCCTCCTGTATACCTTGTGAGAAAAAACAAAACAAACCCACCCAAAGACCAGTATCAGTGCAGCATAGTTGCCAGGATTACTATGAGGCTTTTGTGTTCTGCAAGACTGTGTGATTAAAAAAAATAATTAGCCAGTTTTTTTTTGCTGCTTTCCTAGCTCATGTTGATGCATTTGTGAGTTCCCTAGGCCAGTGTTGCTGTTTTACATGTTTTTTCTTTATCAAGGAATCTGAATTCAGGAGTATTCTGGATATATGTTGTAAAACCTTGACTTGAGATTCAGCGATATTCTCTATGAAGAGCATAAAACATTGACTTGAGAGATTTCCAAATGATTGGAACAAAGAAAACCTAGCCTAAAATTTGAATAGAAGCAGCTTTTTAAAATAAAAATATTTTTTAAAAAGCCTTTCACATGATGCAGAAGTTATTCCAAAGACTGCACACCTGTTTGTTGGTTTGTAGATATGTATAGCTTCTTACATTTAAATAGTTTGTCACTAGCAACAGTTGACTTTGGACAAATATGTTTGCAAAATGTGCATTGAAGTTTAAGTTGTGATTGTTTCTGAGGAACAGCAGTCATTACACCATGTGATCTTTATAAAGAGACATACTAGTTTATAATCTGTGCAAATACACAAATAAAGTAATTCTGTTAAATGAACTAGTGCTCGTTTGGAAGGTGAAGACAAAGTATTTTAGCAGCCAGAAGAGTAGGGGAGAGAAAGGTTAGTTTATTCTAGAGCCATAGGCTCATCAGTAAACCTGATCACAACTATGAATGTTACTATCTGGCTGGTGTTTATTGAGGTTGTCTTTCTGATGCTCTGTCCTTATTTTGATAAGATTAGACAAGAAAGAAATAAGAAACTGATAAGATGCTGAGGTGTGCTCCTTTGCTGACTGAAATTAGCAGTGTACTTGATGAGAATTTTTAGTGCCATAGTCTCACATTCAAGTCAAATTTTACACCAGTACGGAAAAATAACACAGACTGCACAGTATCACTTCTTTCTCTGTTACACAATGAGGAACTGAAAGTCTAGTTTTTTGAAATTAACTCATGAGTCAGAGTGCAGGACATAAAATTTTGGATTAGTAATGTCACATTTCCTGAGTGAACTGCTTCTTGGCTTGTGGATGAAGAGAAAGGAAGGTTGTGCACAGTGAAATCAGTTATCATGGGAGTAAACTGGTCATTTGAACCTTTTGCAATACTTCATTCTTCTGGATTGAGCTGATCCTATTAATAAGTATGGCTAAAGTTGAATAGCATTTCCTTTCTAGGAGGTGGGTGGATTATAAAAACATTTTTATCTGTATGTTGTAGATATCGATGAATGCCAGTCCAACCCATGCCGGAATGGAGCCACGTGTATAGATGGCCTCAATACCTTTACTTGTATGTGTCTGCCAAGCTATATAGGGACTCTCTGTGAACAAGGTAAGGTGTTTCCTTTAATCTATGGTGACTGAGGTAATCTCTTTCCATTTCAACACCCTTCTGGCATAACTAGGCAAAGCCTCCTAAAAATGAGATGATGGAAGCAACTGTCAATATCTGTGGGAAGTCATCACTGATAAGGACAGATTATATTTTTTTAATATATCAGATTCCCCTGATTTGTGGCTCAGCATTTTTTTCTTTTTATTTAAGGTTATGTCTGCAGCATCTTTTGCAGGTGGATAAGGTGGATAACTCTCTCCATATGCAAACCTGAGTGGAAGTTACCTTATTTCTTTATCAAATACAAAATTACACACTGGGCAGTTTTCTGTGTAAATAGCAACTGTACAGTTTTCAAGTGGTTCCAAGACAAACTCAGCCTGCTTATATTAGCTTGCAAACTATAGGGAAGACACATAATGAAGTTCTCTCACTACTGTAGTGATGTTTATACGATAATGAGCAGGAGCGGAGCTATTTATTGTCTGACCAAGCTTCTGTTTTATAATATACAGTTTGAAAGACATATCAGAACCTATCACTTCCAGCAAACATCACTGGAAAGTAAGAATAGTCTACTGAATATGCCAGATTATTTATCAGTCTACTGGGGACCGCAGCCTCGACAACTACATGCCAGAAATTTCAAATCTATTTGTTCTGTGATAATTTTACAAAGAGTAGGTGCAGGATCACAGAATCACAGATTTGTCATGGTTGGAAAGGACCTCTGAGATCCAACCATCAATACAAAAAAAAAAAAAACAAAACAAAAAAACCCCCAAAACCCCAACAAATCACAAACACAACCTAAAAAACCACACACTCCACTAAAAAGCACCCACAATAAAACTCTGCACAACCTGTGCCACTAGAGCATGCCCTGAAGTGCTATATCTACACGTTTCTTGAATACCTCCAAGGATGGCGACTGAACCACCTCCCTGGGCAGCCTGTTCCAGTGCCTGACCACACTTTCAGTATAGAAATTCTTCCTAATATCCAATCTGAACCTCCCCTGACACAACTTCGGACATTTCCCCTGGTCCAATCATTATTCCCTTGGGAGAAGAGGCCAACACTCATCTCCCTACAACCTCCTTTTAGGTAGTTGTAGAGGGCAATGAGGTCTTAAATCATGATTACAAGGAAGTTGTAAAGAGCTTTCTGAACTGGACAACTGAAATCAGATTAAATATCTAAGTTTCTGGAATTGTTATAACATTACTTGCAAGAAATCCCACTGTATTTACAAGAAATATTTAGATTGCAAGATGCTTACTAAATATATGCATGTGGGTGAAGGAAGAGGGTAGCAAAATCTGTTCTGTCCGTAAAATTAATATAAAGACATTTCCATGGGAAGAAGACATTTTATTTCTTTTAAAGTGTACTTTCTAAAGCTTATGAAAATACTTCTTTTTTTTTTCTTCAGCAGAATGGTTTTGGTTACATGTAAATGAACAAGACCTTTGGATTAATTTAATTAATATTGTGTATTTTCATGCTTTTTTCTCATCTTCAGTGAAAGGTAGTTTGAAAACTCTTCCAGTGCAAGAGATTTGTTTGTTAGAGCTGAAAACTCTTACACCTGACCAGTTCCAGTACTTTTCACTGTTTAACTTTTTCAGTAATCTGGCTAACCTTGTCATTTGAAAGGCCTTTCTGAATCTGTTCTCTAAAATTTAAAGTTGACAGTGTTTTCACAACAAAATAAATGTTCTCACTCCCTTCCTCTTTCTCTTTATTCCTGCAAGCACTAGTAGTGAGTGGCTCTGAGTACTGTGGTAGCTTTAAGCTGCTTTTTATGACCAACCTGAGAGTGCATTTTAGGTGGTTAATGGGAACATTTCCGAGTTTGTCAATCAGAACCAGAGCCCTGCTCACTCAACTTTGGAATTTAAATTTCCTCCACTTAAAGTCCTGCAGTGGTTTGGGACTTGGGAAAAGCATTTAGTGCCAAATTTCCACTCCACCAGACAAAATAAAACTGTGTTGGCGATTCAGACACGGTTGTCTGGCAAGCAGGCTTTATTACAAGGCACCAGTCCTGACCTCAGTAGATTTAAAGACCAGCCAGAAAGACAGAATGAGTACCTTGGTGCCACAGGAAAGGTGGGGCTGAGCACACCAAGATTATATTTCATTGCTCTTTTTTTTTTTTTTTTTTTTTTTTTTCTTCTTTTTCTTCTCCTCTCCCTTCATACACA